CAACATAAAGTGAATATTTCCAAAGGAATAAAATGCGAAAAAAATGACGTGGAATCATAACTGCAGGTTACCTGTGATGATATGATATTACTTTCATTTGACGAGGATGTAAGCAATAGACATAGACAATATATATATATACATATATATATATATATATATATATATATATATATATATATATATATATATATATATATATATATATTTATATAATTTTTTGCGCACCCATTTTACATATAGCAAAACCTAACTAAAAATAGAATAAATGAGACGGAGAAAAATAAAGCAAAGGAAAGAAGTAGAAAAAAGAAAGAAAACAATAAATAAAAAAATAGGAAAAAAACAGAAAACAAAATAAAGAACAGAGAGAGAGAGAGAGAGAGAGAGAGAGAGAGAGAGAGAGAGAGAGAGAGAGAGAGAGAGAGAGAGAGAGAGAGAGAGAGAGAGAGAGAGAGAGAGAGAGAGAGAGAGAGAGAGAGAGAGAGAGAGAGAGAGAGAGAGAGAAAGAGAGAGAGAGAGAGAGAGAGAGAGAGAGAGAGAGAGAGAGAGAGAGAAAGAAAGACAGAGAAAAGGAACAATTGCATTTTCCCCGGTGCCAGTTCTCTACAGGAGATGAAACACATAGCGAGCAAAGATGTCTCGCATTCCCCCAGCGAGACACGGTAAAGCCTCCCTCTCCTTGCTTCCATCAAGCTCTCGGGAAAGGCTGAGATGTTGATTACCTCGCGACAAAACATCTCCCTTTTGGTCGCCTCAGGTGTGAAATCGGGGTTCTCTTGTCCGTAGAGTTTATCAGCTTGATTTGACTCGAGGGGGGGGGGGTTGAAGGATGTGCTTTTTTTTAGGTCTGTTACTTTTTTTTTTTTTTTTTTTTTTTGCTTTTTGCTTCTTTTTACTCATTCTTCTTTTTCTCTCTCTTTCTTTTCTTTTTCTTCTTTCTTTTGTCTTTCCTTTCTTTTTTTTTCTTATTTTTTTTTTCTTCATTCTTTTTCTCTCTCTTTCTTTTCTTTTTCTTCATTCTTTTGTCTTTCTTTTCTTCTTCTTTTCCTTCCTTTTATTTTCTTTACTCTTTTCTTTTTTTTCTTTTCTCCCTCTTTTCTCTCCTGTTTCTTTTCTCTTATTTCTTTCTTCTTCTTGTTTTCTCTTTTATTCTGTTAATGCTATTCTGTTCTGTTCTTTTCTTTTCTCCTTTTTTCCTTTTTTTTCTTACTTTCTTATTCGTTTCTTTTCCAATCTTCATTCTTTTTTCCTTTTTTGTTCTTTTTAAGTGAAACATTTTCATGGTGGGTCCAGACTCAGTAAGTTAGATTTATAATCATACAAATCAGATGGCACAAATCAGTTTCAGTATACATACATACGCGCGTATGCAAATACTCATCCGGAAACCTACGTACGTATGTGCAATTTTTTTCAGCGCACGCACATGCATACGTAAACAGACATGTGCGTGTGCATTAAGATGAGATTTCGGTAGGATTGCCTCTTCGAGCTTCCATCTTTGGCAGTCAGACAAAATGGCACTTAATAGCGTGTTAAGGAATGCGTTAAAGGCTTGGGGTGAACGTCACATCATCGTGCAGGGAATCAGAATCGTTATGGTTTGTATTCCTAACGAGGTGTGAAGTTCGTTTTTAGTAGGTGTATACGCATATACACAGGTGCATGGATTATCACATATAGATATATACACACTCATCTCTCTCTCTCTCTTTCTTTCTTTCTATCTCTCTTATTCTTTCTCACTATCTCTATATTTTAATCTCTCTCTCTCTCTCTCTCTCTCTCTCTCTCTCTCTCTCTCTCTCTCTCTCTCACACACACACACACACACATACACCCACACACACACGCACACACGCACACACACACATACACACACACACACGCACGCTTATAGTTACACACAAACAAACACATATACACACATTCACCAACACATACATACACAGAGCCTGACACACACATATATATCACTCCCCCCCAAAGAAAGTTATAAAACGCCAGACCATAGGAATGCGTGACTGTGTATCACTGAAACATTCACAGGTAAATCGTATTTCATTTTTTTTACCCTCGTTTATCGACAGGAAAAGGAAACTGAATTTGAAAACTCACTCTTTTTAAAAGGAATTGCAGGTCAAGACGGGAAGTCAAACACCATAAGCTGAAGGACAGGGAACGCTGTTTTATATGAAAATCAAATGTTTGTGTTTTTTTTTCTAGAAACGCTATGTCGTATAAAAACTTGTTTATGTTTGTCGGGATTTTTTTTTCAGTTTTCGTGTGTGATTCCTTTCAAACAAGATTTACAGCACCATAAGAATCAATGACTTCTGTGAAAAAAAGGGAATTTTTTTTCTTTCCAACATCAACTTGTCAATATTTGTGCGGATGTGGGTACGTGTCTCAGAGGCGTGGATACGGTTCCATATACGGCGTGCGGACGGTACGGTGACCTTGACACATTGATATGAAAAAAACAAACAAACTTTTT